AGTGAGTTTAGTTTTACGCTGCACTCAGCAATTTTCAGCTATATGGTGGCAGTCTATAAATACTTGAGTCGGATCCAGACAATCGAGTGATCAACATCATGAGTATCATTCTGCGCAATTGGGTGAGTGAGTGAGTTTAGTTTTACGCCGCACTCAGCAATATTCAAGCCATATGGTGGCAGTCTGTAAATAATTGAGTCTGGACCCGGCAATCAAGTGATCAACATGATTGGGTAAGTGATTGAGTTAGTGAGTGAGTTTAGTTTTACGCCGCACTTAGCAATATTCCAGCTATATGGCGGCAGTCTGTAAATGATTGAGTCTGGACCAGGCAATCAAGTGATCAACATCATGAGTATCATTCTTCACAATTGGGTGAGTGAGTGAGTGAGTTTAGTTTTACGCCGCACTCAGCAATATTCAAGCTATATGACGGCAGTCTATAAATATTTGAGTCTGGACCAGAAGATCCAGTGATCAACATCATGAGTATCATTCTTCACAATTGGGTGAGTGGAGTGAGTGAGTTTAGTTTTACGCCGCACTCAGCAATTTTCAAGCTATATGGCGGCAGTCTATAAATAATTGAGTCTGGACCAGACAATCAAGTGATCAACATCATGACTACCATTCTGTGCAATTGGGTGAGTGAGTGAGTGAGTGAGTTTAGTTTTACGCCGCACTCAGCAATTTTCCAGCTATATGGTGGCAGTCTATACATAATTGAGTCTGGACCAGACGATCCAGTGATCAACGTCATGAGTATCATTCTGCACAATTGGTTGAGTGAGTGAGTGAGTTTAGTTTTACGCCGCACTCGGCAATTTTCCAGCTATATGGCGGCAGTCTATAAATAATTGAGTCTGGACCAGACGATCCAGTGGTCAACATCATGAGTATCATTTTGCGCAATTGGTTGAGTGAGTGAGTGAGTTTAGTTTTACGCCGCACTCAGCAATTTTCCAGCTATATGGCGGCAGTCTATACATAATTGAGTCTGGACCAGGCAATCAAGTGATCAACATAATGCGTATCATTCTGCACAATTGGGTGAGTGAGTGAGTGAGTTTAGTTTTACGCCACACTCAGCAATTTTCCAGCTATATGGCGGCAGTCTATAAATAATTGAGTCTGGACCAGACAATCCAGTGATCAACATCATGACTACCATTCTGCGCAATTGGGTGAGTGAGTGAGTGAGTGAGTTTAGTTTTACGCCGCACTCAGCAATATTCCAGCTATATGGCGGCAGTCTGTAAATAATTGAGTCTAGACCAGGCAATCAAGTGATCAACATCATGAGTATCATTCTTCACAATTGGGTGAGTGAGTGAGTGAGTTTAGTTTTACGCCGCGCTCAGCAACATTCAAGCTATATGACGGCAGTCTATAAATAATTGAGTCTGGACCAGACAATCCAGTGATCAACATCATGAGTATCATTCTTCACAATTGGATGAGTGAGTGAGTGAGTTTAGTTTTACGCCGCTACTCAGCAATATTCAAGCTATATGACGGCAGTCTGTAAATAATTGAGTCTGGACCCGGCAATCAAGTGATCAACATGATCAGCATCATTCTTCACAATTGGGTAAGTGAGTGAGTGAGTGAGTGAGTTTAGTTTTACGCCGCACTCAGCAGTTTTCCAGCTATATGGTGGCAGTCTATACATAAATGAGTCTGACCAGACGATCCAGTGATCAACATCATGAGTATCATTCTGCACAATTGGGTGAGTGGAGTGAGTGAGTTTAGTTTTATGCCACACTCAGCAATTTTCCAGTTATATGGCAGTCTATAAATAATTGAGTCTGACCAGACAATCCATGATCAACATCATGACTACCATTCTGCAATTGGGTGAGTGGAGTGAGTGAGTGAGTTTAGTTTTACGCTGCACAGCAACATTCCAGCTATATGGCGGCAGTCTGTAAATAATTGAGTCTGACCAGGCAATCATGATCAACATCATGAGTATCATTCTGTGCAATTGGGTGAGTGAGTGAGTGAGTGAGTTTAGTTTTACGCCGCACTCAGCAATTTTCCAGCTATATGGCGGCAGTCTGTAAATAATTGAGTCTGATCCAGGCAATCGAGTGATCAACATCATGAGTATCATTCTACGCAATTGGGTGAGTGAGTGAGTTTAGTTTAACGCGGCACTCAGCAATTTTCCAGCTATATGGTGGCAGTCTATTCATAATTGAGTCTGGACCAGAAGATCCAGTGATCAACATCATGAGTATCATTCTGCACAATTGGTTGAGTGAGTGAGTGAGTTTAGTTTTACGCCGCGCTCAGCAATATTCAAGCTATATGACGGCAGTCTATAAATAATTGAGTCTGGACCAGACAATCCAGTGATCAACATCATGAGTATCATTCTTCACAATTGGGTGAGTGAGTGAGTGAGTTTAGTTTTACGCCGCACTCAGCAATATTCAAGCTATATGACGGCAGTCTGTAAATAATTGAGTTTGGACCCGGTAATCAAGTGATCAACATGATCAGTATCATTCTTCACAATTGGGTAAGTGAGTGAGTTAGTGAGTGAGTTTAGTTTTACGCCGCACGTAGCAATATTCCAGCTATATGGCGGCAGTCTGTAAATGATTGAGTCTGGACCCGGCAGTCAACTGATCAACATCATGACTACCATTCTGCGCAATTGGGTAAGTGAGTGAGTGAGTGAGTTTAGTTTTACGCCGCACTCAGCAATATTCCAGCTATATGGCGGCAGTCTGTAAATAATTGAGTCTGGACCCGGCAATCAAGTGATCAACATCATGAGTATCATTTTTGAGCAATTGGGTGAGTGAGTGAGTGAGTGAGTTTAGTTTCACGCCGCACTTAGCAATATTCCAGCTACATGGCAGCAGTCTGTAAATAATTGAGTCTGATCCAGGCAATCGAGTGATCAACATCATGAGTATCATTCTACGCAATTGGGTGAGTGAGTGAGTGAGTTTAGTTTTATGCCTCACTCATCAATATTCAAGCTATATGGTGGCAGTCTGTAAATAATTGAGTCTGGACCAGGCAATCAAGTGATCAACATCATGAGTATCATTCTGTGCAATTGGGTGAGTTAGTGAGTGAGTGAGTTTAGTTTTAAGCCGCGCACTCAGCAATATTCCAGCTATATGGCGGCAGTTTATAAATAATTGAGTCTGATCCAGGCAATCGAGTGATCAACATCATGAGTATCATTCTACGCAATTGGGTGAGTGAGTGAGTTTAGTTTAACGCCGCACTCAGCAGTTTTCCAGCTATATGGTGGCAGTCTATACATAAATGAGTCTGGACCAGACGATCCAGTGATCAACATCATGAGTATCATTCTGCACAATTGGTTGAGTGAGTGAGTGAGTTTAGTTTTACGCCGCACTCAGCAATTTTCAAGCTATATGACGGCAGTCTATAAATAATTGAGTCTGGACCAGACAATCCAGTGATCAACATCATGAGTATCATTCTTCACAATTGGGTGAGTGAGTGAGTGAGTTTAGTTTTACGCCGCACTTAGCAATATTCCAGCTATATGGCGGCAGTCTGTAAATGATTGAGTCTGGACCCGGCAATCAAGTGATCAACATCATGAGTATCATTTTTGAGCAATTGGGTGAGTGAGTGAGTGAGTGAGTTTAGTTTCACGCCGCACTTAGCAATATTCCAGCTACATGGCGGCAGTCTGTAAATAATTGAGTCTGATCCAGGCAATCGAGTGATCAACATCATGAGTATCATTCTACGCAATTGGGTGAGTGAGTGAGTGAGTTTAGTTTCACGCCGCACTTAGCAATATTCCAGCTACATGGCGGCAGTCTGTAAATAATTGAGTCTTGATCCAGGCAATCGAAGTGATCAACATCATCAGTATCATTCTTCACAATTGGGTAATTGGGTGAGTGAGTGAGTGAGTTTAGTTTTATGCCTCACTCATCAATATTCCAGCTATATGGTGGCAGTCTGTAAATGATTGAGTCTGGACCAGGCAATCAAGTGATCAACATCATGAGTATCATTCTGTGCAATTGGGTGAGTTAGTGAGTGAGTGAGTTTAGTTTTACGCCGCACTCAGCAATATTCCAGCTATATGGCGGCAGTTTATAAATAATTGAGTCTGATCCAGACAATCGAGTGATCAACATCATGAGTATCATTCTACGCAATTGGGTGAGTGAGTGAGTGAGTTTAGTTTTACGCCGCACTCAGCAGTTTTCAAGCTATATGGTGGCAGTCTGTAAATGATTGAGTCTGGACCCGCAATCCAGTGATCAACATCATGAGTATCATTCTGCACAATTGGGTGAGTGAGTGAGTGAGTTTAGTTTTATTGCCACACTCAGCAATTTTCCAGCTATATGGCGGCAGTCTATACATAATTGAGTCTGGACCAGACAATCCAGTGGTCAACATCATAAGTATCATTCTGCGCAATTGGTTGAGTGAGTGAGTGAGTTTAGTTTTACGCCGCACTCAGCAATATTCCAGCTATATGGCGGCAGTCTGTAAATAATTGAGTCTGGACCAGGCAATCAAGTGATCAACATGATCAGTATCATTCTTCACAATTGGGTGAGTGAGTGAGTTAGTGAGTGAGTTTAGTTTTACGCCGCGCACTCAGCAATATTTCAGCTATACGGTGGCAGTCTGTAAATAATTGACTCTGGACCAGACAATTGGGAACCTTGGACACCAAGTCAGCTAGCCTGACCACCTGATCCCGTTAGTCGTCCCTTACGACAAGCATAGTCGCCTTTTACAGCAAGCATGGGTTGCTGAAGACCAATTCTAACCCGGATCTTCACGAGTCTGTTCTGATGGAAGTGACTTCAAATTCAGGTCTATGCTTGTAAATTGTATTCAGTTTCAAGAAATAAAATTGGTCTGGCCTAATATTCCAACACAAAATGCACTTATTACTTAAAATTGGTAGTGGCTTGAGTTGTTTTGTTCTAAATTATAGAAATTAAATTGATTTCATTTGTTGTGCTTACCTTGTGAAGGGGGGTCATTTCATCTGAATCACGTGACACAGGGTCAGCCCCGCGACTCAAAAGGAACTTGACAATGTCAGTGTGACCCATGTAGGCAGCTCTGTGAAGAGGCGTGGCATGTCCAGACCTTGTGGTCACATCTACGTGGGCACCAGCGTCCACCAGTGTCCGGACTACATCCAAGTGACCGTTTCTGCTGGCATAATGCTGAAATATTAAGACAGAAGGCACATATTTTTTTCTTACCATAACCATTAAATTTGTTTTGCTGTAAATCTCTGACATTTATTATTAAAAGTGAAACTATACACGACTTCAATTTTTTCTCAATCTAAGTAAACTTAGGCTCAGTATTTATTCGTTTGTTGATAGATCAGTGTCAGCGACCTGGGAAGAGAAAGTCCAAAACATGTTTTGTAAGTCCTGTCAAACCCCAACAGGTATAGTCCGTTTGGCTCAAAAGCGGACCGATGAATTGCAATCTAACTTGAAAACTAATAAACAAAGCATACTCAATGAAACGCTGATCATAATCAAAACATCATACCCACTCTGTGAGGTTTTTGCAGAATTTTTGTCCTAAAACTAAAAAAGTTGTTTAACTATCATTAAAATATTGACACAGTTCACTGTTTGTTACGAGGGAGGAGTGCCGAGAAAGGGGACAACCAGGTGTTCGAGAAGCACATTCACACACAAAGTTATCAATTCATCAACCTGTACTGAGCCTAAGTTTACATAGACTGATTTTTTTCTCCATGTCATATGTTTGTACCGAAATGCATAGCATGAAATAATATATTTCATGCAAAATTATGTCGTGATATTAACTGCAATAACTGCATACCAAACATATTGAACCTATTTGCATTTATAAAGTTCATTTATACTAACTAGAGAATTAACGACCATCGTTCGCTTTACAGTTTTTACAAACCCAAGTACCAGAGCAGTGTAGCCCGATTTGTCTGTTTTGTCAGCGTCTATATCTTTCTCTAGCTGGCGCTTTACATCCGTCAGATCTCCATTTAATGCGGCAGACCAGATTCCACGCTCAAATTCTAATTCATCAAGCGTCTGATGAACCGATGGGGCGCTGAAGTGTCCGGAACATTTGTGATCCGTGTGAGCCATTTGCAGTCATGTTTTTGATAAACCCTTGGGAGCAGTCATTTTATAGTATTACTACGATGAGGGAAATACACGCAATAGTATTTTTAAATGAAACAGCAATGAAAATATTCCTCCAAAAGACATCATAAATCCGAATTATTGATGTATTTATAACAAGAGCGATACATTTAGAGGATAATACAGAATTCATGTTGATCCTCTTAATAAATACTCATTTTCTCAAGCTCGACCCCAGCGCGTAACCTTGCAATCTTGTTATAGAGAGAGCTCCCCGAAATAAATGTCGTTGTGGGGAGCTTGAGATTTTGTCATATGACCGTCACGTGAACGATCTCTTATCACATGAGTGGGTCGGCCCAACTGATAATCATCGTCGAAAGAGAGCAGACGTGATTTTAATCAACATGGGAAGACTGACAACGATTGTAGTGGTAGGTTTGGCGTGCCTTCATATATCGGCTGCTTACGTACCGAGATTTCTTAATGGAAGACCAAGAGGTGGAATGGTTGGTCGTCCAGCGTCCAAAAGAGTCTCCACTGACCCCCTCCCACCCGACATGTGGATGGAACAAACATTAGACCACTTCAATGATGCCAACACTCAGACATGGCAGCAGGTAATGTATAGAGACACTTATAGTTTCCAAAAGCGTGATTACCTCCCTTTGATCGAAAGAAATTTTGAAAAACCTAAACGGGGAGTAGCAGAAAATGTCTATCATAAAATTGATCATAGAATATGTTGACCACAAAATAAATATTGCTATGAGATATAGACATAGCGCAGCAAACTGTGGGACCCCATCATTGCAGGGTCATATCTTGACTGTAGGACCCAATCGTAGCTGGGTCATGTCTTGACTGTAGGACCCCATCATGGCAGGGTCATATCTTGACTGTAGGACCCTATCACAGCAGGGTCATATCTTGACTGTAGGACCCCATCATTGCAGGGTCATATCTTGACTGCAGGACCCCATCGTAGCAGGGTCATGTCTTGACTGTAGGACCCCATCATTGCAGGGTCATATCTTGACTGTAGGACCCCATCGTAGCAGGGTCATATCTTGACTGTAGGACCCCATCATTGCAGGGTCATATCTTGACTGCAGGACCCCATCGCAGCAGGGTCATGTCTTGACTGTAGGACCCTATCGTAGCAGGGTCATATCTTGACTGTAGGACCCCATCGTCGCAGGGTCATGTCTTGACTGTAGCACCCTATCGCAGCAGGGTCATGTCTTGACTGTAGGACCCTATCGCAGCAGGGTCATATCTTGACTGTAGGACCCCATCATGGCAGGGTCATATCTTGACTGTAGGACCCCATCATAGCAGGGCCATGTCTTGACTGTAGGACCCTATCGCAGCAGGGTCATATCTTGACTGTAGGACTCCATCGTAGCAGGGTCATATCTTGACAGTAGGACCCCATCATAGCAGGGTCATATCTTGACTGTAGGACCCTATCGCAGCAGGGTCATATCTTGACTGTAGGACTCCATCGTAGCAGGGTCATATCTTGACTGTAGGACCCCATCGTAGCAGAGTCATGTCTTGACTGTAGGACCCCATCATTGCAGAGTCATATATTGACTGTAGGGACCCCATCGCAGCAGGGGGTCATGTCTTGACTGTAGGACTCCATCGTAGCAGGGTCATATCTTGACTGTAGGACCCCATCATCGCAGCAGGGTCATGTCTTGACTGTAGGACCCTATCGCAGCAGGGTCATATCTTGACTGTAGGACCCCATCGTAGCAGGGTCATATCTTGACTGTAGGACCCCATCGTAGCAGGGTCATGTCTTGACTGTAGGACCCCATCATGGCAGGGTCATATCTTGACTGTAGGACCCCATCGTAGCAGCAGGGTCATGTCTTGACTGTAGGACCCTATCATAGCAGGGTCATATCTTGACTGTAGGACCCTATCGCAGCAGGGTCATATCTTGACTGTAGGACTCCATCGTAGCAGGGTCATATCTTGACTGTAGGACCCCATCGTAGCAGAGTCATGTCTTGAGTCATGTCTTGACTGTAGGACCCCATCATGGCAGGGTCATATATTGACTGTAGGACCCCATCGCAGCAGGGTCATGTCTTGACTGTAGGACCCCATCATTGCAGGGTCATGTCTTGACTGTAGGACCCCATCGTAGCAGGGTCATATCTTGACTGTAGGACCCCATCGCAGCAGGGTCATATCTTGACTGTAGGACCCCATCGTAGCAGGGTCATATCTTGACTGTAGGACCCCATCATTGCAGGGCCATGTCTTGACTGTAGGACCCCATCGTAGCAGGGTCATATCTTGACTGTAGGACTCCATCGTAGCAGGGTCATGTCTTGACTGTAGGACCCCATCATAGCAGGGTCATATCTTGACTGTAGGACCCCATCGTAGCAGGGCCATATCTTGACTGTAGGACCCTATCGCAGCAGGTCATGTGTTTGACTGTAGGACCCTATCATAGCAGGGTCATATCTTGACTGTAGGACCCTATCGCAGGGTCATAGTCTTGACTGTAGGACCCCATCTTGACTGTAGGACTCCATCGTAGCAGGGTCATATCTTGACTGTAGGACCCCATCAAAGCAGGGTCATATCTTGACTGTAGGACCCCATCGTAGCAGGGTCATATCTTGACTGTAGGACCCCATCACAGCAGGGTCATATCTTGACTGTAGGACCCCATCAAAGCAGGGTCATGTCTTGACTGTAGGACCGTATAATGAAAAACGGCGTACAACCATACTCACTCACACTCATGTGTTTGTTTGTCACGTTGAAGGCATGGTGTCGATTTCCCACATGATTACAAAGTGTGAAGCCTATTTCTGGTGTTGTCAGTCGTGATATTGCTGGAATATTGTTTAAAGTTGTGTAAGACTAAACTCCCTCGTTTACTTTGGTTTCAGAGATATTTTGTGAATGAAAAGAACTTCAAGCCAGGGGGACCTGTGTTCTTGATGATTGGTGGAGAAGGGACGGCCGACCCCATATGGATGGTGGAGGGAATGTGGGTAGAATACGCCAAGACTTACAACGCCATGTGTTTCCAGCTGGAACATCGCTTCTACGGCAAGAGTCATCCCACACCGTATGTTTCCATTCATATTCACCCGTGAAGATTCGGGTTAAAACTAGTCTTCAGCAACCCATGCTTGTCGTAAGATGCGATTAATGGGATCGGGTGGTCAGGCTCGCTGACTTGCTTGACACATGTCATCTTATTCAAGTTGTGTAGATTGATGCTCATGCTGTTGATCACTGGGTTGTCTGGACTCAATTTATTGCAGACTGCTGCCATATAGCTGTAATATTGCTGAGTCAGCATTAAACACCAACCAACCAACCATTCATATTCTGTCATATCCTTTAAATGTCTGAGCTATGACATGTATCACGTCTATTTGAGAAGGGTGAGGTTGATGGCCATTTTAACTGCATTGCAGGACTTTAATATGAAGGTGAAAGGTTTCTGACCATTGTCCACATTATATGACATTCATACAACAGTGAATGAACTAGGAACTGGATGACAGAGACATTTTGCCACCCATTTAAAAAATCAAGGATTCATCAAATGCAGAACACAGAACTAAAGCATTTTTTTTGGATGAAATCCTTCTTTTTTAATTTCAGATTTCTGTACATCAAAAGTGTGATTAAATTTCATTGCCATGATCACTGTTGCCTCAGTAGCTAAACTTTTAGTTTAAGATTTAAAAAAATATGCTGTTACCATGGTTACAGAGACATCAGCGATGAGAGTCTGCAATATTTGAGCAGTGAGCAAGCTCTTGCTGATCTAGCAGCTTTCATTCAGTTTGCCAAGTCCAAGTTCAACCTGGCTGACAACAAATGGATATCATTCGAGGATCTTATCCAGGTTTGTGCTGGGATTATTCCACAGGCAGACTGTAGCACAAATAGGGCTGCACAACACAGAGAAAAATGACCAGTCTGTTTATATGCAAGCTATCCACAGGCAGACTGTAAGCGTAGCAAAGGACCAGTCTGTCTATATGCAACGCATTTCCTCGCCTCGGTTCGAAAAATATCTTTAATATCAAATGAAATATCCTCACCATCAGAGGTAGACACCCATTGCCTCACAGGGTAGTGCTCTCAGATTTCCAACCTACATATAATAATTACTCAATTAATATTACTCAACAATATATTCAATTCAACATTTTAAGCACCACTCGTGGCACGTCAAATCGTTCTTCGCCTCCATTACCCCTGCCAGCTTTCGGGTTCAACGGAATGAAGGAACAAGAATAAACAGAAAGTAAAAAGAAATATCCTGTTGCATAATTTTACCATTAAACTGTTGGAGATTATTTTTCTTATCTGTCGTCGTTATTGTTAGAATTTTTGTAACATTTATTCTAAGAAAGAAACACTTCTGGCGCAGTGGACGAATGAAGCAGGGAAGGTAACTCTGCAAGTATTCCATATGGCGGACATGTAATTCAACAAGTATATGAAAATAGCACCATTCTTCTACAACTGCGACAATACATAGTCATACACCAAAGTTACTGCATCGCTGGCTGTCCATACGGCTTCAATAACAGAATCTGGAACCGCACTATCTGTGCAAACAAGGACTCACTATGCAAATCAAAAAAGTGTTACACGTTTTAGGATAATTTATCAGTGAAAGTAAACTATTCAATCAAAGAAGTTTAATTAGATGTGTAGTCGTGTCAAAGATAAAGGTGTTTAGAAATATACAAAGTACAATATAATAAATTCACTGTGCAAGATGTGATGAATTGTCACATCCCTCTGGCCTGTGGCTGAGGTACTATGATCTATGATCGCATGGGACTCTGGCAGGCCTACCAAAGAAAACTTTCCCACTGTGCAGAAAAACACAGAAAAGCCCACAATAATCGTGGAAATAGCAACATAAACATAATACCTCGCTACTGACTGACTGACTGACTGAGTTTGGTTTTACCGCTTTTAGCAATATTCCAGCAACATCACAGCGGGGACACCAGAAATGGACTTCACACATTGTGCCCATGTGGGGATTCGAACCCGGTCTTCGGCGTGACAAGCCAACGCTTTAACCACTGGGCTACCCCACCGCTACTGAAACAGTGAAAACGGCAACTTTAAATCGCTAACACTGCATCATAAAACGAGGAGCCCGCAACTTGGATTTTGCCCATGCACACATGGAAGAGGAAGTCTACGACCACATGTTGACATTTACATTACTTTTTTAAGTATTTCTGTTGTGTAATTTGGCATAAATCATCATGATACTTGTGTGCACACTTGTTTAGTTTACTTTCCATTCAGAGTATGAAACAATTGACAGCAATTGTTTCAACAGCAATTGTTTCAACATATTTAATTCTTTTTTACTGTGAGGCGATTCACAGTTGCTTGGAAATTGGAAAGAAGCCCGATCGTGAATGCGCATGCGCAGTAGAGGCCATAGTTCGCTGATAACTATGAAAACTATGAAAATGTTGCAGTTTCATAGTTTTTCGTTGCAGTTTTTACTGTTTCAGTAGCGAGGCAATGTGTTTATGTTGCTATTTCCACGATTAATGTGGGCTTTTCTGCGTTTTTCTGCACAGTGGGAAAGTTTTCTTTGGTAGGCCTGTCTGGGTAGGAGAGTGACTTCATGAGAGTGGCTTGCTTTTTATTATGCCCCCGGCATGTAACACGGGGGGATATAGTCGATGCCTCGTCTGTCTGTCCGTCCGTCCGTAATCAGTTTGTTTCCAGAGCATAACTCAAAAACCAATCAATATTTTTCAACAAAACTTGGTAGATATATCAAACAGATCCTTAAGTGGTGCCTTTTGCTATTTACAGATTTTTAGCATTTATATTTTTTATTATTTCTATGGAAAACGATTTGGCCTTAGTCCCAAAATGGAGGGGTGGGTTTCATTTCTGGAGCACAACTGGAAAACTTCTTAATATCTTTCAGCAACACTTGGCTGATATGTGAGGCATATGCCAAAGTGGTGCCTTTGCTATTTGGCATATCTTTTTTCAACAGTTTCCATGGAAACAATTTGGACTAAGTCCCAAAAGGGAGGGGTGGGCTTCATTTCCGTGCACAACTTGAAAAGCTGCTTCAGTATCTTCAACAGAACTTGGTAGAACTTGGTTGAAATGGTGCCTTTTGCTATTTACAGATTTTGGCATTTATATTTCATGATTTCCATTGAAATGGTTTGGACTTGGTTTAAGAAAAGTCGAGCTGGACTTCAAGTAACTGTCTGATGATTTGTTCTTTCAAATATGTGGGGGCCGGGGATATGTCATCTCTGATGACTCTTGTTTAAATTGCTACTCAAATTCTGGTATTGTTTTGTCCACAGGGTCGCTGTCAGGATGGCTGAGAATGAAGTACCCACATCTCATCACAGGCTGTAGCAACAAGTGCCCCTGTGTTAGCTCAGCTCAACTTCATCAGTAAGTATCTGTGACACATTTCCTTCCCCTTCAGAAGTCGTAGGTCTTCAGCAACCTATTCTTGCTGTACAGGTCGACAACAATCACCAATTGGTTTGGTTCGGTTCGTTTGATGCTTGTCCTTATCCTGACTCATGCTATATGCTTATCGCCTATGAGTCAGGATAAGTATAAAATATCAATTTTATCATAACTATTACATCATTAATTGTAGTCCTATGACTTTGTTGTAACAAGTGAGTGAGTTTAGTTTAACGCCGCTTTTGGAGATATTCCAGCAGTATCATGGCGGGGGAACCTGAAATGGGCTTCACACGTTGTACCCATGTGGGGAATCGAACCTGGGTCTTTGTCGAGTGAACGCTTAAACCACCAGGCTACCCCACTGCCCCTGTTGTAGCAAGACCATTATTTGTAGGCTTCTTTGAAATAGCTTGAATAGTGTGGCCTTAAATTGAAACAGATATGACACATACTACGGCTGCAACGAATCCAGTGGGAATTGAACATGATACATTTTGCGAAAATGAATATTGGGGTAACGATTACCATAACAAGTCAGTAGTTGATCTGTTGTTTTCTTATATTTAGTACCCAAGGAAATCCGGGTGAGAATTTAATGAGTGGCGACAAAGGGGATTGTGTGGTCGGACTCGCTGACTTGGTGGACACATGTCATCGTATCCCAACTAAGTTAATTCAATGCTCATGATGTTGATCACTGGATTGTCTGGACCAGACTCGATTTTTTACAGATAGCTAGAATATTGCTGAGTGCGGCGTTAAACAAGAAGCCAACCAACCTTATATGTAGTGAAACAGTATCAAAATAATATTTTACCTCTTTAAACCATGTTGATAGTGCAGTCAATGACCAAAATGATCACGTATTGTCAAGCTGTTGACTGTTTACCTGCTTGTCTCAGGTATAGTTATTTTGCATCTCGCTTTGATAAATAACACCCAAATTAAAGTATAAACATTCACTTTTATCAAATTCATGAATAATGGATTCAATTGATAGTGAATAAGGAATTGAATTTATGAAGGAATACAGTTAATCACTGATTCACCGAATACATGATTTAATCGTAGCAATCTTATTATTTATCAATAAAGAAATTCAAAGAATTTAGCCTGAAGTTATTCTGTATTGCAAAGATCATACATGAGATATGAACATTATGTCATGCAAACCTTTGCGTACTGTATATGACCTTAGATAAGGCAAATCTTTAGGACAAAAAATGTCTGCAAGGGTGGAAATAACTTTAAAATCGCTAATGTACTCCGGTACAGTGGCACATGTAAAATCACTTGCCCTGATAATTTTTCCACTATACCGGCCGTTTTCTTGTTGATTCATTAAATAAACAACATAACTAACATTGGAAATCAACTGGACACTGGTTCAGTGTGATTTACAAATTTGCTTGCCCGACAGAAAAAAACACTGGACTCGGGCATCGGGCAATGGGTTATTTCCACCCCTGGTCTGTAGAAGAGGTTACAGGTTACAGATTCATCAAACTTGATGATAAGATAACGACATTGTATCACTTTACGTGAACTAACAAGACAAACACGACTTTGTCAGTGACAATGTTAAATTTGCTTATAACATTGTAATGCTTAGTTTGTCACTTTGAGTTATGACATCACTTTGGGTAACACTATCCTTGATATGATTTGTATGCTGTGTGCTGTGTGGCAGACTACCTGGCTGTGGTGCGTGATTCGCTGTCGACGACGGGGCCTGGGTGTAACGAGAACATCCTGGAGGCTACGGAGGAGGTGGAACTGAGGCTGCAGACACAGCCTGGCCGGGATGAACTCAAGAAGCTCTTCAAGTAGGTCACTGCTGGTCTCTCGGGCCATTGTAACTATTGATCCTTGGGGTCATTCAACTGATGAACCACAGAGCCATGTAATTATTGATCCTTGGGGTCATTCAACTGATGATCCACAGGGCCATGTAACTGTTGATGCTTGAGTCATTCAACTGATTAATCACAGAGCCATGTAACTGTTGGTTCTTTGGGCCATAAAACTGTTCTTTGGGGCATGTAACTGCTTATCCTTTGGGACATATAGCTGATGGTTCTTTTGGCCATATAACTGTTGGTTCTTTGGGGCTTGTAACTGTTCTTTGGGCCATATAACTGTTGGTTCTTTGGGGCTTGTAACTATTCTTTGGGGCATGTAACTAATGGTTCTTTGGGCCATATAACTGTTGATCCTTTGGGCCATGTAACTGATGGTTCTTTGGGCCATATAACTGTTGGTTCTTTGGGCCATATAACTGTTTTTTGGGGCATGTAACTTATGGTCCTTTGGGCCATACAACTGTTGGTTATTTGGGCCATACAACTGTTGGTTATTTGGACCATATAACTGTTCTTTGGGGGATATAACTGATGGTTCTTTGGGCCATATAACTGTTGATCATTTGGGCCATGTAACTGATGGTTCTTTGGGCCATATAACTGTTGGTTCTTTGGGCCATATAACTGTTTGTTCTTTGGGGCTTGTAACTGTTCTTTGGGGCATGTAACTTATGGTCCTTTGGGCCATATAACTATTGGTTCTTTGGGCCATATAACTGTTCTTTTGGGCATGTAACTTATGGTCCTTTGGGCCATATAACTGTTGGTTCTTTGGGCCATATAACTGGACTTTGGGGCATATAACTGACGGTTCTTTGGGCCATGTAACTGATGATTCTTTGGACCATGTAACTGACGAGCCTTTGTGCTATTTAACTTATTATCCTTTGAGCCATGTACCTGAGCGTTCTTTGGGCCATGTAACTGATTGTTATTTTGGCCATTTGACTGGTGATCCTTTTGGACATTTAACTGATGATGCTTTATGCCATTTAACAATTCACCCTTCCGGCTGTTTAACCAATGCTTCTTTTGGCCATTTAGCTGATGATGCTTTTATGCCATTTAACAATTCACCCTTCCGGCTGTTTAACCAATGCTTCTTTGGCCATTTAGCTGATGATGCTTTATGCCATTTAACAATTCACCCTTCCGGGCTGTTTAACCAATGCTTCTTTGGCCATTTAGCTGATGATGCTTTATGCCATTTAACAATTCACCCTTCCGGCTGTTTAACCAATGCTTCTTTTGGCCATTTAGCTGATGATGCTTTTGGTCTTGTTCTCAGAGATCCTTCCTCTTGTTCTTAAACTGTTCATGCCACCTTTACGCTTTCATTATTAGTAGGTCCCTCAGACACAACTGTGTTTGATTGTGTTTGGGGGAGTTAATATACAATGCTACATGATTAAGAAGGTCTGGGTTTTGAAAAAGTAAATTATCACCCCGATTCCCAAGCCAGGGCACTTAGATTTGAATCCTATTTAATACCCAGCTGAGATAAGGTTTGTTCTGTCTTAGTCTGTGTGGTCAGTGACATTGACGGTGTTTGAGCAACGCAAGAAGACATAAGGGTGTTTGAGGTCAAACAACAAGGATGTACCAGACCTTGGCTGGCAACTTTGAAGGTGTAGTGCAGTACAACAAGGACAACCGGGCATTTGAGGTCAGTACAACAAGGACAACCGGACATTTGAGGTCAGTACAACAAGGGCAACCGAGTGTTTGAGGTCAGTACAAGGACATCAGGGTGTTTGAGGTCAGTACAAGAAGGACATCAGGGTGTTTGAGGTCAGTACAACAAGGATATGAGGGTGTTTGAGGTCAGTACAACAAGGATATGAGGGTGTTTGAGGTCAGTACAACAAGGATATGTTTGAGGTCAGTGTTTGAGGTCAGTACAAGGACATGAGGGTGTTTGAGGTCAGTGCAACAAGGATATGAGGGTGTTTGAGGTCAGTACAACAAGGATATGAGGGTGTTTGAGGTCAGTACAACAAGGATATGAGGGTGTTTGAGGTCAGTGCAACAAGGACATAAGGGTGTTTGAGGTCAGTGCAACAAGGATATGAGGGTGTTTGAGGTCAGTACAACAAGGACATATGAGGGTGTTTGAGGTCAGGTGTTTGAGGTCAGTACAAGGAAGGACATAAGGGTGTTTGAGGTCAGTGCAACAAGGATATGAGGGTGTTTGAGGTCAGTACAACATATGAGGGTGTTTGAGGTCGCAACAAGTCAGTAAGAAGGACATAAGGGTGTTTGAGGTCAGTACAACAAGGATATGAGGGTGTTTGAGGTCAGTACAACAAGGATATGAGGGTGTTTGAGGTCAGTGCAACAAGGACATAAGGGTGTTTGAGGTCAGTACAACAAGGATATGAGGGTGTTTGAGGTCAGTAACAAGGACATAAGGGTGTTTGAGGTCAGTACAACAAGGATATGAGGGTGTTTGAGGTCAGTGCAACAAGGATATGAGGGTGTTTGAGGTCAGTACAAGAAGGACATAAGGGTGTCTGAGGTCAGTGCAACAAGGACAACTGGGCATCTCAGGTCAGTACAGCAATAACAACATGATGTAATGGCTGTATTGTTGCAGAGTGGAGTGGGTTCTAAGATCACCATGGCAACAAGATACAGTGGCTGCATTGTTGCAGGGGTCAGTTGGGTCCAAGATAACCATGGCAGCATGGTGTATTGGCTGTATTGTTGCAGGGTGGAGTGGGTACCAAGGTTACCATGGCAATGTGATGTATCGGCTGTATTGTTGCAGGGTGGAGTGGCTGCCAAGATTACCATGGCAACATGATGTATTGACTGTATTGGTTCAGGGGAGAGTGTGTACCAAGATCACCATGGCAACATGAATTATTCACAGGGTATTGTTGCAGGGTGGAGTGGGTTCCAAGATTACCATGGCAACATGATGTATTGACTGTATTGGTTCAGGGGAGAGTGTGTACCAAGATCACCATGGCAACATGAATTATTCACAGGGTATTGTTGCAGGGTGGAGTGGGTTCCAAGATTACCATGGCAACATGACGTATTGACTGTATTGGTTCAGGGGAGAGTGTGTCCTAAGATCACCATGGCAGCATGAATTATTCACAGGGTATTGTTGCAGGGTGGAGTGGGTGCCAACATCACATTGGACACACTGTGCGGCTTAATGACCGACGCCTCCATCACTCCCATTGAGCGCTATGCCAATGTCAACAACCTCCTCATGACCACATACAAGCAGAAGTGTGTTGACTTTGTCTACTCCAAGATGATCGATGACTTGAAGAAGGTTGATTGGAACAGCAGTGCTTCAGAGGGAGGTGAGCAAATACATCATCATCATCATCATCATCATCATCATCATCATCATCATCATCATCGTCATCATCATCATCACAAAATTATAGACATAACCTTCTAGCTCCATGGAAGGAATATCTTTATGATGGAAAGGACATCTGTATGTCCATAAAACAACAGGCACTGACAAATGCCATTTTATTTTTACTTATCTCAATATTTGATTAGTTTGAATCATCTGATTTGATCACTGCATCTACTCAGAAGTCAAGGGCAGGTAGTTTAAGCTCTGAAGCTCTGAGCTTTAGAAACCCTGGAAATGTAGAGTTGGTCATTTATAGAAAAATACTACATATCACCTATCCTCAGTGATCCAGTTGAAATAAACTATATATTGATGCCTGTCATATTTTTGCCCAAATTGTTACTGACATCCTCTGAGTCTCAAAGAATTGTTCTAAGGTCTAGTGACTGCGTAAAAAAGTACTTTTCTGTAAGTGTGGGCTTCTGAGTAGAGGGCAGACATCAGATCTGCTGATTCCTAGATTACAACCATAAGTCCAGATATGCAAAGAACATTTTTATTTCGAGATGTGTAACAGCTGGTTTGAGATGCGTAATTCAGTATGGATTTGTTGATTTTCTGTTCCCAACCTGTCTCGACGAAAGGATGAACAAAGGTTGGTGGTTCGGCTTTCGTACAGGACATACCATTTTTGACATTGGCTTATCTATGAGATCTGCTTTTCTATGGTCATAAAAAGTAATTCTTTCTGTCAGTTAAAGTCCATTTTCACATCCAGGTCGCCAGTGGACTTACCAGACATGTACAGAGTTTGGCTTCTTCCAGTCTTCAGATTTAGACAATCAGCCATTTGGCCATGGTTTCCCTGTCAGGTGGGTACATAGATACTACACAGCAAGGTCGATGGTGTCCGTGGTGATCCATAGCTAGTCGGAAGAGGTGGATTTAGCATCAAATAGTATTATGTTGAAATGCGTAAATACTTCAAGTCATCCAAGGTTCAGTACGTGCATGAAATGATGAACAACAAAGGAGTATGTACGGACCAAACGTATGCAACATAAGCTTGACACACACTTAAACTGATGTTGAAAGGAGCGCACCAAACTTATAATTTGAGACAATGTACGTCTACAAAACGTATACTTCGAGAGAATGTAAGTTCGACACAAACGTACAATGATGACTAAAGAAAGAGTATGCAGGAACCAAACGTACACTTCGAGAGAACATTAGTTCGACACAAAGGGAAAACGTTGACTATAGAAGGAGTGTGTATACTGGGACCAAACCTGTACTTTCAAAAAACTTATCATGAATTGAGACATTGTTTACAAAATGTGCATCTTTGTAAGTGTATGTGTATGTGAGATTGATTCATCAGATGGGCACAATGTGTTAAGCCCATTTCTGGTGTCCCCCGCCGTGATATTGCTGGAATATTGCTAAAAGCGGCGTAAAACCAAACTCAGTCAGTGATTCATCAGAAATATTGATAGTACAACGTGACCTTACTGACACAAGGGCTGTAACAAATACACCATTAAGCCTAACAAAATACACCATGAGGCCAATACACATGTATAGCAAGGAATATACATGTATTCATGAATACTTCATGGTTAATATCTAGAGATATAAATATCAAACATGTCATGTAATTGCTTAAGTTGAAATATTTAAATGATATTTTCTATAAAACAAAGCAATACATTGCAAACTATGTCTCTAATAGTCTACTGACAGTAGCATAAGGGGCCCACCAACTGCATGGCTTGGATATATTCTATATTTCATCTCACTTTATTAAACAAACAAGTTCCAAGTAAAAAGCACCATCTTAAACATAGTTGTAAATATTTTATTCGAGTGACCACGAATATTGAATAGAATTTATGAAGAGATATGGTTCGATATATGGAATAAGCGAGTGAATTGTAGCAGGACTAATGATCACTATTTACCAAAGTTGATGCATCATGGAATTTGCTCTCGTAGGGCATGGTCTTCATCAGCTGTGGAAGATCAGCAAATACGTCTTCAATCCTAAAATCACGACAACCCTAATAACTGTATCAAACCAACTTACATTGGAAGCTGTCAAAACCAACAGTTGTCCAATCCGGCAAGTTGTCTACACCAGCATAGGGGCGGTGGGTAGCCTAATGGTTAAAGCGTTGGCTCGTCACGCCAAAGACACGGGTTCGAATCCCCACATGGGCACAATGTGTGAAGCCCATTTCTGGTGTCCCCAGCCGTGATGTTGCTGGAATATTGCTAAAAGCGGCGTAAAACCAAAATTCAGTCAGTCTACACCAGCATAAAATCTCTGTCCCGTCCGTGGCTATTGCATGTATCATCCGGCAGCTGCCAATTCCAGATCTCGGCATATGGGTTTATACTGTAATCAGCGCTGTCTAATCCGGCGCGTGGCAAGGAGTCGGCTGGATGTGTATTGTGACCAATTAATATTGCGTTGAAACTACATGGTTGCAAACAAAGACATTTTAATCTTAGTTCAGCATGGGTATACTTGTACATGTAGCTGGTGAGTTGACATGTTTTATTGTGATACAACAATGTATATGAGAGTGACAATCTTGTTCACTTCTAGTCGGAGGTAACCATGTCATCTGTACATTCTGGCATGCTGTGTAAACCGGATTATTTCTGTAGTTTCGACAAGTGCCGGTTAAGACAACTTCCACTGTATTTCAAAATCCATTGATTGTAAAAATTATGTTCTTTTGCTCGAACCATGTCTCAATTAAGATTTGTTTGGTTGGTTTGTTGTTTTACACTGCACTCAGCAATATTCCAGCTATATGGCAGTGGTCTGTAAATTATCAAATCGGGACCAGACTGTCCAGTGATCAATAGCATGAGTTTTGATCTACCAACCCAGCAAGTCTGAGCACCGGTTCCCATTAGTTGCTGCTTACAACATCAGGGGTTGCTGAAGACGAATTCTATCCCGGATCTTCACAAGTGACAACTTGAGTAAACATGTCTTGTTTTGTTTCAGTTTTGCTGTGCAACAGTGTATGGACATCTTTGGCTCACAGTTCAACGCTGACCTCATACAGCATGGCATCAACCGCACCAACACCAACTATGGAGGCTATGGAATAAAAATTACCAAAGTTGTCTTCCCAAACGGTTCCATTGACCCCTGGCATGCTCTTGGAATTACATCAGACCTTGGACCTGATGCCACTGCCGTCTTTATAAACGGTAAACTAATTTCAGGGATTATTTATCTAACACTCCTATGTTTGTTGTATACAGAATCAAGCAAACGGTTGTAGGGGGTGGGGCAGAATTTTTAGTTTCAAACACTTGTATGAAATGTAAAATAGAATCTAATAAATATGTACACATGTTTAAGTTTCGTGTTAGGTATACAAAATACATGTTTGTTTATTTCATCGTTAATAACCTTATATCAACACTATCTAGTATCATATCAGGGCCCCATTTCACAAAGATATAGTAGCGCTATGACTGTTGTACCTCCTACACTATATCATAGACTTATGACAGTTGTAGCTACGATAGCTTTGTGAAAAGGGGCCCTGAATTATATATCTAGTTTCAGCGAGACAAAATCTTAACACTGTTATATAATGAGCAAAGTATACTGAACATGCCTTTTGGGAAATATTGTAATTAGTTCAATTATTTACAAACCGCTGACATATAGTTGGAATATTGCTGAAAACTCCACTCCACTCCACTCCACTCCACTCCACTCCACTCCACTCCACTCCACTCCACTCTGAAGCATTGCAATGGCTGTTTTCAGAATAGAACCCTTTTCACTCACACACCAATTAATTTCAATGCAGATTTAGGTTGAAACTGGCAATGTTCTGTTCCAGGAACTGCTCATTGTGCCAACATGTACCCTCCAAGAGACTCTGACCTGCCAGAATTGGTTCAAGCCAGAGCAACAATACAGAAGCTGATTGGTCAATGGCTAGAGTAGACACCGATACGAAAATAATGTTACACATTCCTTCAATCCAGTTGCTCAAACCTAACCTTTTAGTTGTAGATGTATAACATAATTTTGTTAAATAATGGAAGTTTATAGCATTATAGTTTTAGTAAGAGAGACACTTTTGTGCCATATTTTTGTCAGGAAATAGAATATTGATTTTAGACATAGTCAAGGTTTCCATGTAAAAATATACTAGTAAATCCCAATCAATCAATGCTTGTCATAAGAGGTCAATCTCATGACTTGGCCGATTGCATGTCATTACAAATATAATTGCTTGGATTGATGACTAGCAGTCACAGGATTGCCTTGTCCATCCTCAATCGTTCACAGACAGCTGTCGTTTCATTGGCATTTTACAGAGTGGGGCATTACGCAACTGAAACCAACAAACAATATTTTTATCATTGGTAAATATTGGCTATTCCAGACCAGACACTGCATCAGGTCAATGAATGTTTTAGCCTTGCTGTTATAGTCTTGTTTTTTAATCAAGTATAATGACGGTCTTTCAAGGATGTTTAATAAATGTACTATTTTTGTACAGTATTTTAATAAATTTTCATTTGTTTTATGTTTGCGTCCTTATACTTTATGTGCATTTTATGCACAGAGAAGATGTGATGCCTTGGAGTATGATTTTTTTCCATTTCTCCCACCAACCCCAGTTCTAGTTACCAGACTATGTTCCGTTTCTCTCACACTTATATCACATTGGGAGGTTATTTTATTCCATCTTCCTGGACACTGATATACAATGTTCATAGTTAGAAATAGTCTGTGTTCCTAGACACAGATGTTGTGTTCTCCCAGACACATCCTAGACACAGATGTTGTGTTCTCCCAGACACACCCTAGACACAGATGTTTTGTTCTCCCAGACACATCCTAGACACAGATGTTGTGTTCTCCCAGACACATCCTAGACACAGATGTTGTGTTCTCCCAGACACATCCTAGACACAGATGTTGTGTTCTCCCAGACACATCCTAGACACAGATGTTGTGTTCTCCCAGACACACCCTAAACACAGATGTTGTGTTCTCCAAGACACACCCTAGACACAGATGTTGTGTTCTCCCAGACACACCCTAGACACAGATGTTGTGTTCTCCCAGACACATCCTAGACACAGATGTTGTGTTCTCCCAGACACATGCTAGACACAGATGTTGTGTTCTCCCAGACACAGACACAGATGTTGTGTTCTCCCAGACACATCCTAGACACAGATGTTGTGTTCTCCCAGACACATGCTAGACACAGATGTTGTGTTCTCCCAGACACACCCTAGACACAGATGTTGTGTTCTCCCAGACACATACTAGACACAGATGTTGTGTTCTCCCAGACACATGCTAGACACAGATGTTGTGTTCTCCCAGACACATGCTAGACACAGATGTTGTGTTCTCCCAGACACATCCTAGACACAGATGTTGTGTTCTCCCAGACACATCCTAGACACAGATGTTGTGTTCTCCCAGACACACCCTAGATACAGATGTTGTGTTCTCCCAGACACACCCTAGACACAGAGGTTGTGTTCTCCAAGGCACACCCTAGACACAGATGTTGTGTTCTCCAAGACACACCCTAGACACAGATGTTGTGTTCTCCCAGACACACCCTAGACACAGATGTTGTGTTCTCCCAGACACACCTTAGACACAGATGTTGTGTTCTCCAAGACACATCCTAGACACAGATGTTGTGTTCTCCCAGACACACCCTAGACACAGATGTTGTGTTCTCCCAGACACACCCTGTCTTCCTTGACCCATGTAACACCAAGAAATACCAGTACGCTCTCGTTGTCTTTGTGACATGTTATCTTCTGGGTCACTGATTTTCCTTGTTCCTGTACACTTCTTCCTGTACACTGATTAAACAATCTTCCTGTGATGGCACCATACAATCTTCCTTGGCACCAATACTCTACCTTCCTAAACATCGATATTCTTGTGATAAGGATACGCCTTGTTACCATACAATCTTCCTTGGCACCAATACTCCATCTTCTTAAACATCGATATTCCTGTGATAAGGATATGCCTTGTTACCATACAATCTTCCTTGGAACCAGTTACTACAATCTTCCTTGGCCTCCAAACATCGATATTCCTGTGATAAGGATATGCCTTGTTACCATACAATCTTCCTTGTTACCATACAATCTTCCTTGGCACCAATACTCTGCCTTCTAAATATCGATATTCCTGTGATATGAACATGTTTTGTTCCCATATAACGTTCCTTGGCACCAATATTCTGTCTTCCTAAACATCGATATTCCTGTGATACCGATATGCCTTGCTCCCATATAACCTTCCTTGGTACCAACGATTTGTCTTCATGGACACCTATATTACGGTTTCAAAGACATCGATATACTATCTTCCATGGCTCCAATAATCTATGTTCTTGACACCAATATTCTGTGTTCCAAGACATTGATATACTATCATCCATGGCTCCAATAATCTATGTTCGTGACACCAATATTCCGCGTTCCAAGACATTGATATACTATCTTCCATGGCTCCAATAATCTATGTTCTTGACACCAATATTCTGTGTTCCAAGACATTGATATACTATCATCCATGGCTCCAATAAAGTATGTTTGTGACACCCATATTCCGCGTTCCAAGACATTGATATACAATCTTTCATGGCTCCAATAATCTATTTTTCGTGACACCAATATTCCGTGTTCCAAGACATTGATATACTATCTTCCATGGCTCCAATAATCTATGTTCGTGACACCAATATTTCCTGTTGCAAGACGTCTATATCATTTTGGTAAAAATAATCTTTCTTCCCATAGACACCAGTATTCAAGTGACACTGATATTCTGTCGAAGACATCAATATACAATCTTTCTTGGCACCAATAATACATCTCCTAAACACCAGTATTCCGTGTTTCAAGACACCGTAATGCAATCTTCTTGGTACTTTTAATCTGTCTTCCTTCACCCCAGTATTCCTTTGACATGAATATTTTGTGTTCTCAGAAACTAGTATACAATCTTTCATGGCTCCAATAATCTATGTTTGTGACACCAATATTCCAGTGAGACGGATATTTCGTGTTAAGAAACACCGATACACAACATTTTTATTACCAATAATATTCCTAAGCATCGATATTCCTTTGATACCAATATTCCTTGTTCCCATACAATCTTCCTTGGTACCAATAACCTATCTTCCCAGACACCGATATTCCAGTGACAGTTATTTGGTATTCCCAGTCTTCGACACACCATCTTCCTTGGTACCAATAACCTATCTTCCCAGACAAGATAATTCAGTGACAGTTATTTGGTATTCCCAGTCTTCGACACACCATCTTCCTTGGTACCAATAACCTATCTTCCCAGACAAGATAATTCAGTGACAGTTATTTGGTATTCCCAGTCTTCGACACACCATCTTCCTTGGTACCAATAACCTATCTTCCCAGACAAGATAATTCAGTGACAGTTATTTGGTATTCCCAGTCTTCGACAAACCATCTTCCTTGGTACCAATAACCTATCTTCACAGACACCGATAATCCAGTGACAGTTATTCTGTATTCCTTGTCACCGACACACCATCTCAGTTATCCGTCTTCCTCATCGTTATTCCATGCACTGACACATATATTCTTCCTTCCCAGGGGTCCGTGGTCAATCGTTCCCAGCATCTGTATCCTATCTTCCTCCACAGACATTCTGTCTGCCCGGATATGTTGTTTTTTAGTAAAACCTACAGCACTTGTCATGATGTTGGACGTCTTTAACCATCGGTGACAAGTTGGACAAAGTGACCACACAGCCCGAAGGTTTTCTGAACCGTAAACGACGTGGCCAGTCAATAAGATGGCAACGTTTGTCATTAAATGTCACTGATGATACAGATCAGACATAGCCTTCGGGATCATTCTGAACAAAGCGGAACTTAAAGTATAAAGTGTAGTATATGTCTTACGCATTTAAAGGCTCTCTCGTTGGGGAAATGGCATATGTGGCCCATCAAATGATAGGAACAATAGAACTTATAGCATTGTGATGGGGGTATACGGTGTTTAATAGGCCCCGTGTTATGTTTTATCCACCGAGCCGGAGGGAAGCACAAACCCCGTATACAACGAATCATAATGCTACAACGAATTTATCTTACCGAATGTTTAAATATCTCATTATGTTAATATAACATTAAAACAAACTGAAATTCAATCATATATTCTACTAACATGGTACTGACTAGTCGATCCTAACCACTGGTTCATGGTTTACTTACTGCCGTGGATTCATGTTTTTTCCATGGGGCGAGTTATAAGTGATTTATTCTCCCTCGCAAATATTTATACCCCGGTTGAACGGTGGGCTGTGCACCGGGGAGACATGGTAATTGTACTTGAACCAATCGTACATGAGGTAGGATGACGTCAGTTGGAACACGTTTCGATATGGGAGATTTAATAGCAAAGAGCTTAAGTGAGTGGGTATGGTTTAGCCGCTTTTAGCAATATTAAGGCAATATAAAGGCAGCGACACAGAAATTTGCTTCACACATTATACCATGTAGGGAATCGAACCCGGATCTTTGTGTTTAAAGCGTTCTCTCGTCACACCGAAGACCCGGGTTCGATTCCCCACATTGGTACAATGTGTGAAGCCCATTTCTGGTGTTCCCCGCCAAGATATTGGAATATAGCTAAAACCATACTCACTCATAGAAGTCGGAAATCCAATATGCATTATTTGCCATATTTATGTACATTTCCAATAACACTCCCTCTTCGGCGTGACAAGCGGACTCTTTAACCCACCGCCCAGACTTCTATGATACCCTCATACCTGAATTTTCAATCGAAGTTCGAACGGTCTGTCATTTTCGTAAGAGGTCAAAATCGTGTAGGTGTAAGAAAGAAAACTGACACAGGTTAATTGTCAGCCATAAAAACCCAGTCGAACAATAATTCAAAGTTATCTGCAGCTTTAGAATTAGAGGTTTACGTTTGATTTCAAATATGTAGGAATCCTCTGCCCCTTTTGTAAGTCATGGTAATGCATTCGATATGGTACCGTAATGCATGTCTCTGTCTAAACGTTAAGAAAAGTAATTTTCCTTTCCTTTCCTTTTCCTACTCTTCTTCAATCGTTACAATCATCTGGAAAGGCCAGCATTCACGTTTCAGTTGTAAAACCAAGATGAGTGAGTTGTGTTTTAAGGCGCTCTGGGCGAGATTTCAGTTATGTCACGGCTTGTCGAAGTGAATGAGTTTAGTTTAACGCCGCTTTTAGCAATATTCCAGCAATATCACGGTGGAGAACACTAGAAATGGGTTTCACCAATTGTACCCATTTTGGGATTCGAACCTGGGTCTTCGGTGTGACGAGCGTACACTTTAACCACTAGGCTACTCCACCACCTCTGGCTTGTCAAAGTGGCATGCAAGTCTGAAACGTTTACGTCTTTCGTGAAATCCATGAACTTACTACAGCCCAATTTAATTAGAGAAAGCTTGGATTGGTAACAACCATGAACGTTTTCTTGCTAAACTGAACTTTAAA